GTTTGAATTGATTTGAGAATTAATATTGTAACAATTATAATACATCAATTATAATATATTAATTATAATAGAATGCATAACTGATACACTTTCATTAATACAATGGAATTTTAAGAGAAATTATATAATTTATTTATTTAATTTCTATTCAATCAAAAATAGAAATTTACTGTAACATTTGATTAATTTTTATATTTTTTCTCTTTTTTATTGTCTTATAATATTAAATTAGACAATCAAAAGCGACAGTTTAATATGTAAAAAATATGTAACACAAATATGTAGAATATATAATAATAAAGAAGTATTTTCACATTATCGTTTTACTTTGTACAAATTACAAAAAGATTAATTATAATTTATACTTAACAAATATAAGCAATAGATTTAATAACAATTGTAAGAAAGGCTTGCAGAATCTCTGAAACAATTAAAAATTAGTCTCATTATCATTCCTAATTTGTGAATTCGCATAATGTAAATTGTATTGTAAAAATTTTTTTTGTATAGCTATTGTATAAATCGATATTACAAATATATAAACTTCTAAATATATATAAATTTATCTGCCTATGTTTCTGATCTAATTAATTATTACAATTACTATAAAAATGCATATAAAGAAATATATAAAAACTAATAAAATGCAAAAAGGATTAAAATGCATGGCATTAGAATACAATTCTTAACATTTTACGCATCAATTGTAAAAATACAGTCATGGATTAATTAATCCTTTTCCAGATATCAATGTAAAGATTAAATTGATTAATTTTTTTTTCGCTCTTCAAGCTTTATCGTTGTTGCTCAGTGGAATAAAGCGAGACAAAAATACGACGCTTTAATTTATCTAAGTCGCTCGATTTATAAGTAGAAAATCGCGTATGAACTGCATGCAGTTGATTTCTATCTTTTCAATCTACCCATCTCGACTGTTTTCTTTATTCTATAGCGCGTTCTTCGAGAATAGTGAGTTATCTTTGGTACGCCGTTTTGTACCGATTTCAGAGGGAGAAAGATAATTGCAATGTGCTACATTATATGAGACACATTAATGCAAGTCATCAAAATATGAACATATAATAAAATTAAAAAAAAGTAAAAAAATATAAATATTAATGAGATCTTAGACATTGCGCTGATTTGGCAATTTTTTGAAAATCAGGATTTTAAGAGGATAAGGATAATCTTAAACATTGAGCAATAAAATTATTTTAACTTTGATAATAAACCAAACCAGATCTGTTAGAATAATGAAGAATTCTCTTTTTAATTTTCTTTTATTGACACTAATGAGACACTACTGTGTCTCAATGAACCTTCTATGGCAAGAAAAAATTTTTATATTTAAATAATGTGTGTGTGTAAAATTAATAATACAATTATTATATGATAACATTTAATAACAAAAGCTCGATCCACGAACAGAAATTAAGTTTCAACATCATAGATACACGTCACGTAAGTGGCGTGGGGCTGATGCACTAGCTTAGTAAGCTAGAGAATCGGGTTTCGATACCCGCTTTGGATTCTCTCGAAGGCATTGGCAAAACCTACGAGCAGTATTCTTGCCATGAGAAGGTTCATTGAGACTTGTGTCTCAAATATTGTGGGACATTGTTGTCCCAATAGTTACCAAAAAAAAAAAAAAATATTGAAGATTCTTATTTTTAGTAAAACAAACCAAAGATGCTTTAGTCGGCCCCACTTTTTTACACCTGCAAGCTACTTTTTTTTAGTAAGAGCGACTTCGCGATCTACTCATGTGTATAGGAGGAAAAATACAAAATTAGAATATGATTTAACTGTTTATTAAACATATTAATAGGGATAAACCAAGTTTTAAACTATAAACAAATTAATAAGAATAAAATTAATATAAAAATACAAATTTAAAATTATAAATTTTATAATAGAATTCAAATAAAATAAAAATCAAAATATGAACATAAAGTAAAAAAAAGTAAAAAATATAAATATTAATGAGATCTTTGACATTGCGCTAACTTCGCAATTTTTTGAAAATCAGGATTATAAGAGAATAAGGATAATCTTAAACATTGATCAATATTCGTTAATTAAGTTACTTCTGATTTCTGATTTTATGATATTCATATTTGAAAATACTGATTCCGCCAAATACGTAGAACCAAAGCAGAACCATTTTATGTAGTGAATATGCAAATAATGCACGATTATCATACACACAAATACATATATATTATCCTATATGACTTATAATCACTATAAAAGCATATTCTTTAATAATTACGAAAGATTGCTCAAAGTCCTTGATCGTATTTTATTAATATTATTTATAATGCACTGTAAGATTTCGTTGTGTAATGGATTATGATTAATTTATATTTATAAAAAACTAACAAATATTATTAAAGAACATGCTAATACTGTGATATTTTTATTAATATTCTGAAAGTTACTTCTATGGAAAAATAAAAGTAAATATTTTTATATTAGGTCCTTGAATAAGTTCTCGCTGTTTCTTAAAAGATGGCGTAGCGGCACTCTGTGCATGGAATTTCGTACGGAAACGCATCAGCTAAGTAGTACTATATGTAACCTCAAATTCTAGTAGATACAGTTTACCACAGTGTCAACCATGTGTTTAATTACCTATTGCGAAAATGTCTACTTTTGTGCCAAATAAAGTGTTTTTGCGGGGAATTTTATTGCACTGCTTTATTCAAAAGAAATCTGCAGCTGAAGCACACAGAATTCTTGTTGAAACATATGGTGACAATGCTCTGTCGAATACGACATGCAGAGACTGGTTTAGGCGCTTTAAAAATAATGATTTTGACCTTGAAGATAAAGAACGTTCTGGAGCACCGACAAAGTTTGAAGACGAAGAATTGGAGGCATTGCTTGATCTAGATCCATGTCAGACGCTAGTAGAGCTCGGGAAAACATTGCAAGTAGATGCGTCAACAGCTTCAAAACGTTTAAAAGCGTTAGG